GTGTCGATGGCCTTCAAAGCCCCTTGAGGGTCATACCACCTGTTGTACACAGTCCGTATAAAGTCCTCTAATGTCTGGGTCTGGGCCCAGGCATCAAAGTTTTGACCGTAACCCTGTTGCTGCACTATGCCATTTAACCATCGTGTTGCCGAACCCTCAAAAAAGGAGGCAGCGACTATAACTTCCTACTCTAGCCTCGTGAGCTTGTGCCTTACATAGGTAGGCACAATTCTCACCCAGGTGTCCAGGTCCTCATCCTTTTTCCTGTCGCTAGAAAAAGGTTTAGGACTCCGCAAGGAAATCTTGGGCATCCACTGCATAGGTTGGATTTGCCCAGGCGATTTTTGCAGTGGCTGCATAGCCACTGAGACAGGTTGTTGCATGCTAACCTGAGCTTGTCTTGACGATGGGACTATAGCTGCCACCGCCATTGATGGTACGGGAGAAGTACTGAGAATCGGACCACTAACTGGTGCTAAACCACCTGAAGGAGAGATGCCAAACATAGGAGAGAAAGAGGTCCCTAGCAGCGATGGTGTCACTATGGGACCGACAACTGAAGGGGTGCCTCATCATGGGACGAGCAGCCTGTAGAGCAGCCAAAATTCGGTTCTAGCCAGCCACTAGTTCAGCCAGCACTTCCTGCTGGACAACCTGCGTTTCTGCCACGCAAAGGGGCGAGCGACGCAACGCTTGCATTGTCGGATACAATGTTGACTCATCTAGTGCTTTTAACTTCCTTAACTCCTGCCTCCTAGTTCCTAGTCTAGCTTATCTCAATATTGCCCTTTGCCTTTTCTCTGCTACATCCCTCAACTGCTGTTGTAGTTCATTATGAAGAGCTTCCGCTTGGAGGATCTCATAATCCTCTGGTGTGAGAGGAGGCTGTTGGCTGACTTGCGAACCAACAAACTGACTAACGAACCTTGAGAAGCCCCCTGACTAATTCCTGATGAAGAGGCCTGGGACAAGGTCTGTGACATGGTAGAGGTGGTAGCCATTGCGGCCTCGACGCTGGCTGCTGCTGCCCTAGACCTTCATAATGCCACCCTCTTCCTGGCTTCCCTCCGCAGCCTCCTTTCCTCTCCTGGACCTAACTCCTGGAAAGTGATCAGTAGACTGAGAGCAGTTTTGTAGGACACTCTTAGGTCTTCCACTAAGCGTTCCTCCTCCTAACTACTAACTCCACTCATGAGCTACAACGGTGTGTGTGATCTAAACTAGAATCCACACTCAATCCTACCTCGGCATGACACCCAACCGAGTATAATAGTCGACTAATTCGGTCCACCTGGAGAGTCGTAAAGTGGTAACCAGCAATCAATGTCAGGTCCTAAAGGTAAGTCTATTTCTATTTTTAGATTACTCAAACATATTGCAATGCAGCAAGGATTGGTCTATCCTATCTGCAGTTGTCTGTTAGTAGTCGCTAAGTCCGTAGAACTAAATAATCAAAAATAAAAATAAATTACCTGTGGAGATGCATGCTGGATGGCAGTTTATCTAATTAGTACAATAGTGAACAGTTACCAAAATCCCCCCCCCCCCCCCCTTGTATCCCTCTTGAGTAGTCTCTTGTGTATCCCCCATCAACCTAGAGAGTCGTAAAGTGGTAACCAGCAATCAATGTCAGGTCCTAAAGGTAAGTCTATTTCTATTTTTAGATTACTGAAACAGAATGCAATGCAGCAAGGATTGGTCAATCCTATCTGCAGTTGTCTGTTAGTTGTCGCTAAGTCCATAGAACTAAATAATCAAAAATAAAAATAAATTGCCTGCGGAGATGCATGTTGGATGGCAGTTTATCTAATTAGTACAATAGCGAACAATTGCCAGAATTACCCCCCCGTTGTCGCTAAGTCCGTAGAACTAAATAATCAAAAATAAAAATAAATTGCCTGCGGAGATGCATGTTGGATGTCAGTTTATCTAATTAGTACAATAGCGAACAGTTGCCAGAATTACCGCCCCCCCCCCCCCCTTGTATCCCTCTTGAGTAGTCTCTTGTGTCGACGTCCTGAGCATCTACTTGAGCAGCGTATCTAAAGGTGTGCAATCCGTCCCACCCATGTGCCCCAAGTCTATGCTAAACCTGCCAGCCCGCACCTTGTTTACCCTCGCATACAACGAGCCTTACTTCCGATCGATTTGGCTGATCAAGAGGCAGTTTAAGGACAGCCCCCAAGGTCCTCAAGAATTATTTAACGTCGCAGACAGGACGACGATCACAACCAGGGTTCAACCGGAACCCGCCAGAAATGTTTATAGACGGTCTGGTAAGCGTCTCTTAAAGGGCTGGCATGCCCAACAGGACCTCTATTGCGCAGCAGTAGAACCAAGGACTTGCAGCAAAGCATGCGTGTACTAGTCCCAGCCGGTTGGCATGGTGACCGTGACCCAAGTGCTTCGTCCAGGGCCCTTCACCGGCTTCGCTCGTCTGCCAGCAGCTTGCTACCGAGGAAGAATGTCGACTCCCAAGGTTGAGTGCTCGCGACACCTCACATTGAGACGACTCTCAAGACATAACTCACTTCCTCATGGTAAGAAGTAATGAAGAGGGTAGATAAGGAGGAGAGCAACGTACCTCATAATGCTGCCCCCAACCACAGATTTCTCACTGGGAAACTGACGTGCATTTATGATGAAAGGTCCTTGCCTTGGCACAACAAACAGCGAAATGCAGTTCCACCTCAGCTTAAATGCCACATCAGTGAGCTCTCATCATCCAGCATACATCCCTATGTCACCGCATAGCCTTCCGGGCGCGCCCACACAACCCTGGGCCGCCCTATTGTCCAACGCCCAAGCCTTATCACTGCCCCACACCTCATGCGAAGCACCAAACAGCTATTGCGAAGAACCAGTAAAGCACAGTTCGAACCAGCTCCGATACCAAATTGCAAGGAAAATGAGCAATAGTGAGATGACAGAATGCAATTTGCACAATCACATTGAAAGCCAGAAAGTCCCACAGTGTCCAGAACGTAGCACTGCACCAATACTACACCAATGGAGAATCGTAACACTGAAAACGAATGTCAATGAGAGTCCAAGCCCTTCCCCCTACTTGGCGCTCGGCGCCCAGACTACTCCCACACAGCTGCTATCTGCCTACGAATTGACAATGCAACTGTTGACGTCAGCAGCCACCGAGGTACATGAAGATGTCGCCCGATGCAGACCATCGCCAATACCAGGTATGTGCCCTCACATCACCATCATGATCATCCTCTCTCTCTCTCCCTTGATTTTCACCGTTGTCTTCCCTCTGTTCACCCGAACACCACCCCTGCACTTTGCTGTATTCCAAGCCCAGCCAGCTATGGAAGCTGGGCTGTGGCGCTGCCCTCAGCAGCGCCCTTCTTCCCACACGACCGCACGTGCACAGCACCTTGCCCCTAGCGCCAGCAGCAGCATGCAAGTGTCCGCTCCAGCAGCGCTGTCGCAAACTGGCAAGTGCTTGAATGCAGCTCCAGGCCGGAGCTCTTTCCTATATGGAAAGAGTCCGCCTGGCCTTCAACCTGGCTGGGCTGGACCTGTGCCCAGAAGCTTCCGGTAGGCCCCAGGTTGCTGGGCCTCTACTGGTGCTGCTGGGCCTCGTTCAGTTGCTCTGCCCAACTGTCTGTGTATACTGCTGCGAATGTGGCCCAGGGCCTGCACTTCAGGAAAGGCCTACAAGGCCGTGGAAAATCTTTGCTGCTCGGGTCCTGGATTCCGTCAACCACCTGATGCGACACAACTGCCTGAAACCCCAAATACGAAATCGACAGCATTGGGCCTCTCGTGATTTGTTAGGCCGCCTTCACTTAGGGCGGGCACACTTGCATTATGGGTCCCCGTAGGCCTTCCGAGAAGCCTTATCCTCGCAAATACCTTAGAATTAATTAATGCTTTGAGTAGGCGAGCAGATTTCTTTGCTGCCATAATGACTTACCTTGATGCTGGCACTGACCTGCAAGAAAGATTAGGACCGCCTACGCTGATGATCCTGTTTATAGTAAGTTGTGTGACACAAGCCAGGGGGGAGAGAGTTACATATTTGATTGAGGTTGCTGGGTATTGCTCTGCTGAGTGCTTGGTGACTCAAACTCTGACTCTATAATATGATGTTGCGCTGCTGAGCGCTCGGTGACTCTAACTCTGGCTCTGTATAATATGAGCATTCATTGCATTTTACGAGCTGCGCTAATCTGGTCTCCCCATCTCTGGACTTTGGCGTGGATTTTGCGTGAACTCTCGTGGTGCATATGTTTGGAGTGTCAATATAAGGGGTTCATTGCAGTAGTAGTGTGCCAGCTTATGCTGTGGCAGCTCGTGCATTCTGCTACTCTCAACTGTGCATTTCAGGAATCTCCCACAAAAGCTTTGGCTCCAGCAATGTTTCACGCATCTCCAATCGTTGTTCAGGCTCCAGCTCTGCAGTAGCAGTACTTCACGCTGAGAGAACAGGCTCGGTAACTGATGTGATTGGAGGGAATCTAGCATGACAGGTGGCACATGAGCGATTCAGATGTGGAGGATACGGGCAGTGCGGGCAGTCCACAAAGATTAGACACATACTATCAAAGAAATGCCTCCCGAAAACAGGCACGACACATGGCATGCTGCTGGCATCCCAGAAAACCGGATGACTGGTATTTGCAGTCATTCACAGAAGGCATCTCTCAACCACAACCACACAACAGGCAGCTAAACAGTGGACGAGGTGCAGAAAACACCCGATGCCGATGTATCACAGTATTCAAGGATTGGGCTGACAGCGGCAATCCCTTATGTTGTGCACATTCTTTGTTCACAGAATGATGCGTGCATGTGTCACTTGTTCACCAAAAGGCATGTGTTCTGTCTATTTTTAGTATTTTGCTAAGTGATTGATTAATCACGCTCTTATTCCTCGACTTCGCTATATGCTGGAAACGCCTTAGAGTTGGAAGTTCCAAATTCATTGGTATGATGCCATATGCAGTCCAGGAAGTGGCTAAATAAACTGCAACTCCTACCTGCGTGATGTCACTCACTTCCTGAACCAAGCACTTCCTCCTCTGCAATTTCTTAAAGATGCTGCAGACAACCAATGTGCCAAAATATCACACACACACACACACACACACACACACACACACACACACACACACACACACACACACACACACACACACACAGAGGAGTATGAAGACCAGAAGTGAAATAAACAGGAGTATGAAGATCTGAAGAGAAACGCGCAGGAGCATACCTTCCCTTATACTCTGCTCTGTGCAAGTGGGCCGTTAACGCACACAGGGATGTGGGCAGCTGCCGCTCTGTTATGTGCCTGATTGAAAACGAAATACAGCATGTCGTTCACACGTTCCCATACACATGCGAGAGGCAAGTAGACTTGGAGAGAGAAATTCACACCAAACCAGGTGATGATATTACACAGCGGAAGCACTCAAAACCATTAGTAGAATTGAATTTCATTCAATTCTTATTACCCCGTCTCTCTCTCCAGCTCAATCAACAACACAAATTTTGAGAATCCCAACCACGTTATCAACACCCACGGACCAATTACATACAGAGTTTCATCGAAATATACTCCCTCTTCCTTGAGCTCAAGCTATGGTGCTTGCACGCACCCAACCTATCAAGCCTGCCAATCGCCACACACCCTCCTAAATCCAACACCCCTCTCTGCACCACTCAAGAAGCCCACTGCAGATGAAGTGTCCACTCAGCAGGGCAGCGCAGCTCCCAGGATGATGAAGAAACTTGATGAAGATGAAGATCTGCCACGTCAAAGAAGAACCGCTGAAAGTGCAGCTTCGGTGGCAGCTGACCAAACCCCAACAAGCACCCCAGGAAGCGCTCATCAGCACTTGGGTGCCGAGCCCAGCGCTGTCACCAATGGAGCTGGCAGGCCCCAGCTGTGGCCGCCAGCAGCATGTGGAGAAGATGCCCTGCGTACATGCCCACAATAACGCAGCAGGGAAGCAACGCCGCCTCCACCAAGACAGTGAAAAAAAAAAAGCAACGATATTCCTCGGCCTCTGCCTACTTCTACCCGACTTCCCTAGACCTACAACACAGCAGCCACCTACAGACCTATCTGACAGCAAACATCTACGGCCAAACAGTCAATATCTACCTACATGCATCTAGGTACAAAGGTAGACTAAGGGGACCCAAGGCTAGGACACACAAAAGAAAGACCTATGGGCCTTCCAGTTTTCAGAAGGGCAAAAAAGGACAAAACAACAAGGCTGAAGACTCCGAAGTAGAGACTATGTTCATGGTTCAAGCTCAATAAGGCTCAAAAAGAGTCAAACACCACAAACTCACTACAGGTCATGTCCAAGGAACCCGTCTGTTCTCACTTGCTGGAGTGCGCCAGATATCATACATTCACACACATTGTACAGAATCGCAATAGCTCACACAAAGCTTCAATGAGAGATGAATGAGACCAAGGAACTCGGCTCAATTATATTAACCAGATTAAGAGAGTTTATCACAAGTTCAAGATGAACAGCGCCGAACAGGAACACAAGTCTTCTGCCCTCATCAGAGCATGGAGCTAAGAAGGTAAGTGTCACCATAACTTTCACTCCCCTCTCTCTCTCTCTCTCTCTCTCTCTCTCTCTCTCTCTCTCTCTCTCTCTCTCTCTCTCTCTCTCTCTGTATGTCTTCTCTCTCTCCCTCTGTCCCAATGTAGTAGCCCTGGTCTTCCTACTATCACACATCATCTATGCACACTCCCTATCACATGAGGATCTACTCTGAATACTACTCAGTGATGTACTAACTCTATCCCCTCTACTACTAACACAGGCTGGCGCAGCTATGGCTGCTTCAGCAAGCCAGCGCCCAGCATCTCTCTCCCTTGCGCAGCATCAAGCCAGCACTCTCCCTCTGCATGCTAGCGCACAAGTGCCTTCAGCACTTCCACGCATCAATGCTACTGGAGATCTGTCATGTGGGAGGCTGGTCTGCTCCTTTATACTAATGTCATGCCTTGCGAGGCCTGAATCAGCCTCCCTTAGGACTCTTTTCCCTGTCCCAGGCTGTGTAGAGTGTGTCCCAGTACCTTTCCCTCAAGGTCTGCTGCTGCGGGGGCCTTCAGGCCTGAATTTCGGACTTGGGGCCTGTATCTAGACTCTCCCTCTGACTTAATTCGTGACTGGGACTTAACCTTTGACTTCTGTTTGAAGAGGCACACCTACTGCCCGAACAGACACATTCTGTACGAACAGACACACATACTGCACTTACAGACACATCTCCTGCATGAACAGACATGACTTGCACACCCCCTGGATAAACAGATGTGACTCCCATATCTGAATATTGCAACTGTTCGTCCAGGGGCACAACTGTGACCTTTGATTTTACTTAGCCAGGATGTGACTTTTGACCCAGAGAACATGTCCTTTGATCTGCTTTCACGAGTTGGGCTCTGGGCGAGTGACCCCATTATGCTGCATTCGTCAAACAGGGTCTGAATCGGGTAAAGGCCCTTTTGATGGGATGAAGTCCCGGGTTGACTTCAGCAACTGCAGAAACCGACAAAACAGCAAAGCCCAAGGGCCTAAGACTGCCAAATAGAGACTAATAGCTACAGGTCCAAGGATCAAGCCCAGTAGGGCTTGAAGCTAACAAACCAAACGTACAAATTACAGGTCACTGGATCAAGTCCCGCAAGGCCCAAACCAAGGAAACAGCAAACACAGTTAGTGTACAGACCCACTGGGATACTGCGATTTATTGCTTCTTACCGTACCGGGGAGCGAGGACCCACAAGCTACCCAACCAACTACCAACCAAAACGGTTGGAGGGGTACTAGCTGCAGGATCGTTAAGCTTCCCTAGTTGTGGAGAATGCGAAGATCCGAGAATCTCAGAGGGTTAGGGTGAGATAATCAGATTAAATTGATTAGTTGAATGCGAGGGTTTTGGCCAGGTAATCAACTTTTAGGCAATCAATCACGTTCTGAAAATCTGCTGGTTGTTGGTCAGATTATCAGTAAGTGTTGGCTGGCTGAGTGTGAGGGTATCAGCCTGGTAATCAGCTTATAGATAGCCAGCAAAATCCTAAAAATCATATTATTGAAGCTCAGATTAGCAGCAAGAGTTAACTAGTTGAATGCGAGGGTATGAGCCTGGTAATCAACTTGGCTGAAATCTGATTAATCTCTGGCCGGACTGGGTATCAGTTAGACTCCTCAACTGCTGATCTGTGTATCTGGAAGCGTGACACGTGGACTCTTCCCTGGATAGGGTAAGGATCTGGCATAATCTGTAAATGGGACTAAGCCTATCATATTCAGTAATAACGCTTCTGTTACGATCCTGGTCATTTCCCAAGTGCAATTCACAATGAAAGACAATGCCACCAAATTGCGAAAGAAATGAAAGCACTTGCAAAGAGATATGGACCAGAGGAGATAGAAAGAAGAAGAAGAAGAAGAAGAAGAAGAAGAAGAAGTACACCAGCAAGACAAATGACAACTCCCCCTTCTCTCTCCACCTTCCTCCTCCTTCCAACTTCCCCCAATCTTATTCCTCTTGCAATAATAATAATAATAACAATG